AACTTAAAACAAAAGATACATGACTCAATTAAAAATGGACAAAACAGTGAATAGAAATTCCTGCAGAGAAGCTATGCAAATGACCAATAAGTACCCGAAAGGATGCTCTAAATCATTAGTCATTAGGGAAATGCAAATCAAATCCAAAATGATTTGTTGCATTTTTGTTTTATTAGTAGTTTCTTTTGCTGTGCAGTAACTTTTTAGTTTGATATAGTCCCATTCATTTATTTTTATTTTTACTTCCCATGCCTTTGGGGTAAAGCTCATAAACTTCTAAGACCAAGATCCATAAATTTAGTACCTATTTTCTCCTATGTAATTTATTGTTTCAGGTATTATATTTAGATTTTTGTCCATTTTGAGTTAATTTTTATATATGGGGAATGAAGTAGACTAATTTTATTCTCTTGCATGTGGTTTTCCAATTTTTCCAGCATCTTATATTGAAGAGGCTTTCTTTTCTCCATTGTATGTTTTTGGCTCCTTTGTGAAAAATAATTTCCCCATATACATGTGAGTTTATTTCTGGGTTCTCAGTTCTGTTCTATTAGACTGTGTGTCTGTTTTTCTGTCAATACCATGCATTTAAAAAAATATACCATTTAGTCTCCTTATACCCCCCTGTCCCCAGCAATCACCACACTGTTGTCCATGTTTTTTTAATAGATCAATTGATGTATTTTTTCCATTATTATTTATCCTCCTATAGCCTTTCACACCTCCACCCATCCCACCCCTCTACAAGCACCACACTGTTGTATGTGTCCATGAGTTAATTTTCTTTTTTGTTTGATCCCCCCACCATGTCAACCCCCTTCCAGAACTGTCAGCCTGCTCTCTGAGTCTGTCTCTATTTTATTTTTTTAAAGGTTTTATTTATTTATTTTTTTAGAGAGGGGAAGGGAGGGGGAAAGAGAGGGAGAGAAACATCAATGTGTGGTTCCCTCTCGTGCGCTCCCTGCTGGGGACCTGACCTACAACCCAGGCATGTGCCCCGACTGGGAATCGAACCAGCAACCCTTTGGTTTGCAGGCTGGTACTCAGTCCACTAAGCCACACCAGTGAGGGCCTCTATTTTGTTAATTAGTTCAGTTTGCTCATTAATCTTCACATATGAGTGAAATCATATGGCACTTGTCTTCCTCTGAATGATTTATTTCACTTGGCATAGTGATCTCCAGTTCTATCCACACTGTGCCAAAGAATAAAATTTTCTTTTTTATGGCTGAATAGTATTCAATTGTGTAAATATACCCTCACTGTTTTATACACTTGTATACTGATGGACACTTGGACTGATTCTGGATCTTGGCTATTGTAAATAAAGCTGTAATGAACATAGGATAAGGATGTATATATTATTTCAGATGAATGTTTCCAGTTTCTACAAATAAATTCCCAGAAGAGGAATCACTGGGTCACTAGGCAGTTCCATTTTTAATTTTTTGAGTTAACTCCATCAGGTTTTCCACAGTGGCTGAGCCAATCTGTATTTCTACCAACAGTGCACGAGTGTTCCCCTTTCTACACATCGTTGCCAACACTTGCTTGTTGATTTACTGATGATGGCCATTCTGACTGGTGTGAGGCGATATTTTATTGTGGTGTTAATTTGCATTTCTCTGACAAATCATGACATTCAGCATCTTTTCATATGTTTATTGGGCATCCGTGTGTCATCTTTGAATGGTCTATTCAGGTCTTTTTGCCCATTTTTAAATTAGATTGTTTGTTTTTTAAAAGTTCTTTATAAATTTGGGATATTAACCCTTTACCAGAAGTATTGTTGAATATGTTCTACCACTCAGTGGGTTGTCTTTTCATTTTGTTGATGGTTCCTCTGCTGTGAAAAAAATTTTTAGCTTGATGTAGTCCCATTTGTTTATTTTTTCTTGTGTTTCCCTTGCCTGAAGAGCTATATCAGATAAAATATTGCTATGAGAAATGTCTAATATTTTACTGAATATGTTTTCTCCTAGGATTTTTATTGTTTTGAGACTAACATTTAAGTCTTTAATCCATTTTGAGTTCATTCTTTTTTTAAAAAAAGGTTTTGTTTATTTATTTTTAGAGAGATGGGAAGGTAGCAAGAAAGAGAGGGAGAAAAACATAGATGTGTAAGAGATACATCAATTGGCTGCCTCTCACATGACCCCAACTGGGTCATCAACCAAAGCATGTGCCCAGAACAGGAATCGAACCGGCAGATCTTTGGTTCTTAGGCCAGTATGCAATCCACTGGGCCACAGCAGCCAAAACTCATTTTGAGTTTATTCTTGTGTGTGGTGTAAGACAGTGGTCAGGTTTCATTTTTTTGCACGTATTTGTCCTGTATTCCCAATACCATTTAGTGAATAAACTATCTTTAGATCATTGTATGTTTACGTCTCCTCTAACAAATGTTAGCTGACTATATGTGTAGGTTGTTTCTGGCCTCTATATTCTTTTCCACTGATCTATATATCTGTTTTAATGCCAGAACTTTTTTTTCTTTCATATAAATGTATTTAAAATATTTTTAATTGTTCAAATACATTTGTCTCCATTTATCTGCCACCACTTTCCCCTGCTGAACCCACCCTTACCTCCCCCCCTCAGTCCTTCCCCACCTTGGCTTCATCCATGTGTCCTTCACACCTGTTCCTAGACCTGACCCTTCCTCTTCCCCTCCCTGCTACTCCCATCCCTGTCAGTTTCTTCTTTATTTCAATGCTGCTGGTCATATTTTCCTTGCCTACTTCCTTTGCTGATTAGGTTCTACTTATAGGTGAGATCACATGGTATTTATCTTTCACCGCCTGGCTTATATCACTTAACATAATGTTCTTAAGTTCCATCCCTGCTGTCGCAAAGGGTAGTAGCTCTTTCTTTCTTTTCCTTCCTTCCTTCCTTCCTTCCTTCCTTCCTTCCTTCCTTCCTTCCTTCCTTCCTTCCTTCCTTCCTTCCTTCCTTCCTTCCTTTCTTTCTTTCTTTCTTTCTTTCTTTCTTTCTTTCTTTCTTTCTTTCTTTCTTTCTTTCTTTCTTTCTTTCTTTCTTTCTTTCTTTCTTTCTTTCTTTCTTTCTTTCTTTCTTTCTTTCTTTCTTTCTTTCTTTCTTTCTTTCTTTCTTTCTTTCTTTCTTCCTTTCTTTCTTTCTTCCTTTCTTTCTTTCCTTTCTTTTTGCTGCATAGTATTCCATTTTGAAAATGTACCATAATTTTTTGATCCACTCATTTACTGATGGGTACGTAGGTTGCATCCAGAAGTTGGCTATTGTAAATTGTGCTGCTATGAACATAGGGGTGCATAAGTTCTTTTGAATTGGTGTTTTGGGATTCCCAGGGTATAGTCTTGGCAGTGGAAACACTGGGTCAACAGGAAGTTCCATTTTTAGCTTTTGAGGAAATTCCAAACTGTTTTCCACAGTGGCTGCACCAATCTGCATTCCCACCAACAGGGTACTAGGGTTTCCTTTTCTCCACAGCCTCACCAGCACCTGTTGTTTGCTGATCTGTTTATGAAGGCCATTCTGACTGGTGTGACGTGGTATCTCATTGTGATTTTAATTTGCATCTCTCTGATGGCTAGTGATGCTGAACATCCTTTCATATGTCTCTGGGCCCTGTGTATGTCCTCCTTGGAGAAGTGTCTGTTCAGGTCCTTTCCCGTTTTTAAATTGGATTATTTGTCTTCCTGAAGTGGAGTCATGTGAGTTCTTTATATATTTTGGAGATCAAACCCCTGTCTGAGGTATCATTGGCAAATATATTTTCCCATAGGGTTGGCTCCCTTTTCATTTCGCTGATGTTTTCTTTAGCCATGTGGAAGTTTCTTATTCATATGAATTCCCATTTGTTTATTCTTTCTTTTATGTGCCTTTCTCTAGGGGACATATCGGTGAATATATTGCTGTGTGGGATATCTGAGAGTTTCCTGCTTATGTTCTCCTCTAGGACTTTTATGGTGTCCCAACTTACATTTAAGTCTTTTATCCATTTTGATTTTATTTTAGTGTATGTTGTAAGTTGTTGATTGAATTTCAATTTTTTGCATGTAGCTGTCCAGCTCTTCCAACACCATGTGTTGAAGATGCATTTTTTACTGCATTTTATGCTTCTGTTTCCTTTGGCAAATATTAATTGACTATAGAGACAAGGGTTTATTTCTGCGCTCTCTATTCTGTTCCATTAATCTATGTGTCTGTTCTTATGTGAGTATCAGACTGTTTTGATTACAGAGACCTTGTAATATAGTTTGATGTCAGGTATTGTGATCCCTCCTACTTTGTTTTTCTTTCTCAAAATTGCTGCACCTGTTTGGGGACATTCATGGTTCCATATAAATTTTTTAAATATTTGTTCTATGTCTGTGAAATACATCATTGGTATTTTAATAAGGATTGCATTGAATGTACAAATTGCTTTGGAAAGTATGGACATTTTGATGATGTTAATTCTTCCAATCCATGAACACGGTATACGCTTCCACTTATTTGTGTCTTCCTTAATTTCTTTCTTCAGTGTTGTATAGTTTTCTGCGTACAGGTATTTTACCTCCTTGGTTAAGTTTATTCCTAGGTACTTGAGTTTTCTTATTGCTATAGTAAAGGTTTTTTTTTTTCCCCCTGATTTCTGCTTCTGACATTTTATTGTTGGTGTACAAAAATGCCTTCGATTTTAGAATATTCACTTTGTATCCTGCTGTTTTGCCAAAATCACTTCTTAGGTTGAGTAGATTTTTTACTGAGTCTATGGGACTTTCTATGTACACCATTGTGTCATGTGCAAACAATGATAGTTTTACATCCTTCTTTCCAATTTGGATGCCTTTTATTTCTTTTTCTTGTCTGACGACTGTAACTAGGACTTCCAGTAATATGTTACATAGAAGTGGTGAAGGCAGACATCCTTGTCTTGTTTCTGATCTTAGTGGGAAAGCTTTTATTTTTGGTTCATTTAATATGAGGTGGGCCATAGGTTTTTCATACATGGCCTTTATTATGTTGAAGTATGTCCCCTTTATGTACGTTGTTAGAGCTTGGAGTTGAGGCCGCTGGTGCCTGATGAACTCACAAGTGTAGGTAGTGTGCTACACAAGGGGCAAGTTTTCGCAAATAGCACAAGGGTCTCTGGCGCCATGAGTGGAGTTTGATAGTAATCCTTGCAAGAAGTGAAAAAAAAAAAAAGGATGCCCCCTTTATTCTGACTTTGCTGACTGTCTTTATCACAAATGGGTGCTGTACCTTGTCAAATGCTTTTTCCGCATCTATTGATATTATCATGTGGTTTTTGTCTGTTGTTTATGTAATGTATTACATTTATTGATTTGCAAACATTGAACCATCCTTGCATCCATGGGATGAATCCCACTTGATCATGGTGGATGATCTTTTTATTTAATTATTTCCTTTTAGTGTTCAAATACATTTGTCTCCACCTTCCCGCCACCACTTTCCCCTGCCCCTCTCCCCTACCTCCTTCCCTTAATCCTTTCCCACTTTGGCTTTGTCCATAGGTCCTCCACACATCTTCCTTGACTTGACGCTTCCCTTCCCCCCCCCCCCCGCCACTGCTTCCCTCTTGATTTTGTTTTGTTTTTCTTTCAATGTTGCTGGTTATATTTTCCTTGCTTGTTTGTTTTGTTGGTTAGGTTCCACTTATAGGTGAGATCATATGATATTTGTCTTTTGTCCCCTGGATTATTTCACTTACCATAATGCTCTCCCATTCCATCCATGCTTTCATGAAGGGTAGCAGCTCTTTCTTTATTTCTGCTTCATAGTATTCCATTGTGGTTTGCCAACATTGTGTTGAGGATTTTAGCGTCTATGTTCATCAGCAATATTGGCCTGTAATTTTCTTTCTTTGTTGTGTCTTTATCAGGTTTTGGGATTAGGATGATGCTCGCCTCATCAAAAGAGTTTGGTATTCTTCCTTCGTTTTGGATTTTTTGGAATAGTCTGAGAAGGATGGGGTTAGCTCTTCCTTAAATGTTTTCTAAAATTCTCCCGTGAAACCGTGCAGTCCAGGGTTTTTGTGTGCTGGGAGTTTTTTGATTATTGCTTCAATTTCACCAGCTGTTATTGGTCTGTTCCGGCTTTCTGCTTCTTCTTCATTCAGCGTTGGAAGGTTATATTTTTCTAGAAATTTGTGCATTTCACCAAAGTTTTCAAATTTCTTGGCATAATGTTCACAGTAATTTCTTACAATCCTTTGTATTTCTGTGGTATCAGTTGTTCTTTCTCCTCTTTCATTTCTGATATTATTTTTTGGTTCCTCTCCCTTTTTTTCTTGATGAGTCTACTTAAAGCCTTGTTGATATTTATCTTTTCAAAGAACCAGATCCTAGATTTATTGATGCTTTGGATTCTTCTTTTAGTTTCTAAGTCATTCAATTCTTCTCTGATCTTGATTATTTCCTTTCTTTTACTCACTCTGGGCTTTGTTTGTTGTTGTTTCTCCAGTTCTTGAAGTTGTAGTGTTAGGTCTTTTATTTGAAATGTTTCTATCTTTTTGAGGTAGGCCTGTATTGTTATGAACTTCCCTCTCAGGATTGCCTTCACTGTGTCCAATAGGTTTTGGACTGTTGTGAGTTCATTTTCATTTGTTTCCTGAAACTTTTTGGTTTTTTTCTTTGATTTTATTATTGACTCATTCATTGGTTAATAGTGTGCTATTCAGTCTCCATGAGTTTGAATGTTTTTGAGGTTTTTCCTTGAGGTTGGTTTCTAGTTACAAGCCTTTATGGTTCCAGAAAATGCTTGTGTATGATTTCAGTTTTCCTAAATTAGTTGAGGCTTGTTTTGTGTCCTATCACATGGTCTGTCTTTGAAAATGTTCCATGTACATTTGAAAACAATGTGCATTTTTCTCCTTTGGGATGAAAGGTTCTGTGTATGTCAGTTAAGTCCAATTGATCTAATGCATGGTTCAGTTCCACAATATCCTTGTTGATGTTTTGTTTGAAGATCTGTTCATTGTTGACAGTGTTAAAATTACCTACTATCAGTGTGTTACTGTCTATATCTTTCTTGACATCCTCCATGATTTTGCTTATATATTGGGGTGCTCCTATGTTGGGTGCATATATGTTTACAATGTTTATGTCTTCTTGATGGATTCTTCCTTTGACTATTATAAAGTGTCCTTCTGGGTCTCTTTTTATGGCCTTTGTTTTGAAATCTACTTTGTCTGATATAAGTATTGCTACCCCTGAATTTATTTCCTGTCCATTTGCTTGGAATTTTTTTTTCCATCCCTTTACTTTCAGTCTGTGTAGGTCCTTTGTTCTGAGGTGGGTTTCTTGTAGGCAGCATATGTCTGGGTAATGTTTTGTTATCCATTCAGCTATCTATGTCTTTGAATTTGGGCATTTAATCCATTTACATTTAAAGTTATTATTGATAGGTACTTATTCATTTTTTCCTTTAGTACTTGTGATCCTCTCTCTTTTCTTCATCTTCTTAAAGCTGTCCCTTTAGTATATCTTGTAGTGCTGGTTTGGTGGAAGTGTATTCTTTTAGCCTTCTCTGGTCTGGGAAACTCCTGATTTCGCCTTCCATTTTAATTGAGAGCCTTGCTGGGTAGTGCAGTACTGGCTTCTGGCCCTTAGTTTTCATTGCTTGGCATGTTTCTTGCCATTCCCTTCTGGCTTGTAGTGTCTCTGTTGGGAAGTCAGCTGCTAGCCATATTGGGACTCCTTTGTATATTACTACCTGTTTCTCCCTTGCTGCGTTTAAGATTCTCTGTTTGTCTTTGCTATTTGCCATTTTAATGACGATGTGTCTTGAAGTGGGCCTCATTGGGTTCCTCTTGAATGGAACCCTCTGTGCTTCTTGGACTTCCATGACTTTTTGTCTCCTCAAATGAGGGAAGTTTTCCATCATTAATTTTTCAAACAGGTTCTCTATCCCTTGTTCTTCTTCTCTTTCTGGTATCCCTATTATTGTGATGTTATAATGTTTCAGATTGTCCTGAATTTCCCTAAATGTCTCTTAATTCTTTTTGAGTCTTTTTTTTTTTTTTCATTTTCTTGCTCGTTCTGGGAGCTTTTTTCTACCTTGTCCTCCAACTGACACATTAGATCCGTGGCTTCATTGAACCTGCTTTTGATTCCTTCTACAGTGTTTTTCAATTCAGAAATTGTTTTCTTCATTTACTTTTGCCTCTTTTTGATAGTTTTTATGTCTTTTTTCATGCTGATAGAGTTTGCAGTAAGTTCCTCATAGTTTCCCTGTAGTTTTCAGTAATTCTCTCTCAGCTCACTGAGTTCATTGAGCTCCCTTAGAACCTTTGTTTTGAACTCAATATCTGATAGTTTATTTGCCTCTATTTCATTTTCTTCTCTTTGTGGGGATTCCTCCTTTCTCTTCGATTGGCGGCTGTTTCTTTGTCTTCCCATTATTTGTGAGACTCTTCTTTTTGGCTTCTGCTTCTGAAATTGATCTGTCTTGACTTCCTGACTTTGTGGTGTCACAACTTCTCTGGTAGGAGACTGGTTTTTTCCCCCTTTGTTTCTGGATCTGCCTCTGATGATGTGAACTGTTCACCCTGTCTGACCTTAGGCAGTCTTTAAGAGACTTTCAAGAATATACTGTCTATGTCTGTCTCCTCCAGTTATTAATCTATTCACTCTACCCACAGCAGTCAGGCTTAGGCACCACAAGGCTGGCAAGAGTCCCTCCTGTGGGCAGGGTTATTGTGTGCTTTCTTGCTGCTGCCACTCAGGGGAGTAGTCTTCCTTAGAAAGATGGCTGCTGCCATGTTGGGGAGGAATCACCACCAGGATCCCCCTGGATACTCCTTCAGTTTTCCCCAATGCTTCAGTCTCCAGACTTTCCTCAAGGGTCTCTAGATCACTCTGCATCCCTTTTAGCCAGGGTTTTTCTACCTGTGACTGCCGCTCTGTACGCAGTACCCAGGCCTGTGCAATGCCTGGCTAGGGTAGAGCCTCCTAGGGGCCAGGGTATTGTGTCCTTTCACAATACTGTTGCTCAGGGGAGTGGTCTGCCTGAGCAAGATGGCAGTTGTAGAATGGGGGGTGAGTCAGCACCGGGATCCTGCTTGCCACTTTCTCAGTTCTTCCTCCAAAGCATCCTTCCCTCATTCTGCCCACTCTGTCCCCACTTTTGCTGGAGCCTAGGGTAATTTTCTGCCACTACAAAGTTTTGCATCGGCCCTTTAAATGGCTCTTTGTGTCTCCAGCCACCTCTCTCTGGCAGAGAGCACTCCTATGCTTTTAGCAGCTGCCTGTTGTCTGTGTGCTTTTTGGGCTCTTGTGCTATAGCCTGGAGATCCCCGCTTATGGTTTAGACCCTGCTCTTCTCGAGGGATCCAACTGGCCATTTCAATATCCCTCTGGTGCTGCCACCCGTGGGCACCTAGTCCACCTTCTTGAGCCTCTACCACACTCCTTACCGGTTAGGTTGTGCTAAAGCTGATACCTTTGTCTGTCTGAGGTTTTGAGGATCCTCTCTCGTTATTGTTCAGTTGTTTGTTCCAGGTGAATTCTCCACAATTTGGTTGTAATTCCAGATTGGTCCTGGGAGGAGGTCAGTGTGACTCCCACTCACTCATCCACCATCTTGGAAGTCCTCAAACCATGTTGTTTTGATTACTATCGCTAGTATAGTTTTATATTAGGTAGCATGAGTCCTCCAACTTTGTTCTTCTGTGTCCGGATTGCTGTTGCTTTGGGAGGTCTTTTATGATTCCATATAAATTTTTTGAATATTTGTTCTAGTTCTGTAAAATACATCATTGATATCTTTATAGTAATTGTTTTGAATCTATAGGTTGCTTTGGATATGATAAACAGTTTAATGATATTAATTTGTCATATCTATGAACGTGGTATGTTCTTCTACTTATTTGTATCTTCTTCAATTTATTTCTTCAGTGTCTTATAATTACCTAAGTACAGGTCTTTCATATTCTTAGTTAAGTTTATTCCTAGGTATTTTATAGCTTTTGAAGTGATTGTGAATGGGATTGTTTTATTAAATTCACTTTCTGATAGTTCATTATTGGTTTACAAAAATGTAATTGATTTCTGGATATTAATTTTGTCTCCTGCTACTTTAATGAATTCATTGATCAGTTCTAGTAGTTTCTTGATGGAATCTTTAGGATTCTCTATATACAATATCATGTCATTTGTAAATAATGATAGT